TTTTTTTTTTTTTTTCCTCCTGACCACGTTCGCGATGGTGGGTAGCAGCAAGGTGGCCCTGGCAGGGGAGGGGTTGATCTCGAGATTGGGCACCGGGCGAGAATGTCTTCTTTCAACTTTGTCTGTGGCTTGCACCCCGGGAGGAGGCCACACGCCGGTTGTGGGGTGTAGATGTGCCGAGAGTGATTTCTAAGTAGTTGAGTTGTTGAGATGAGGGGACGACTGCTAATGGTAGGCAGGTTTTGTTTTCATTGGTGAATCCAGTGTCATCATATTCCGGTCATATGTTGAAATATTCTTTGTTTAGGTCTTGAAGTAGAGGATCTCACCCTGCACGTCCATTTGTGTTGTTTTTAAATGATGTCTCTGGGAGTATGGATTTCTAGAATTTCAAATGTGAGTTAAGGTCCGAGCGTGTTTGGGCCTCAACACTGGCCTTGACAGTGAACTTTGTGGCTATGTTTCAGATTTCAGTGATTTGCCCCATAGCTGGGGTGCTAGTTGTGCATTTTTCTTAATGGTAGGTGTCAAGAATGTAGATATTTGAGCTAGGGAAGTTAGGAAAATTTATATATTAATAATTGATAGTTGAATATTAGAATCAGATTAATTTAGGCTGATGAAAGTTTTTTTTTTTTTTTTTTTTTTAAAGCAGTTGTGCACTCTAGGAAGGAACCTTTTGATAGGCAACTTTATAGGGGTTCTTTAGAGTGAGGAGCTGGGATATGCCTTTTAGAGGATACTATTCATCAACATCAACATCTGCAGCTATATTGAAGGCCTAGTAAGGGGTCTGAAATTGAGGCTTAAACATACTTCTCAGTGTTTATGTTATTTGTTTACATTTGGTGTTCCTTTACGTGTGGGTAAAAGATATAAATAGGTCAGCTTTTGTTTGGTTTTTGAAGGTTAGCCCACTCCCCTTTCTTCAAAGTTTCACAATTTACTTGGTTTACAGGCTTGTAGGAAACGATTACTACATTTTTACTGGAAATACTATTATTCATTTTAATTTCGGTAAGTGTCTTATTCTCTTCTTCAGTCTTCATTTGTGTATGGAATCTGGGGTGGGGGGCTTAACACAAGTTATTAGGGGCCATTTAAAATGTCCGAAGAATGCATTGGAAATCTCAGAACATCTTTTGATGGCAAAGGGGAAGTTTTTGTGTGCATTTAAACTCATACTTATTAAAAAATATTCTGTACCTAAGACTTCTGTAGATAAATAATTATAAGTGAAGAACATAACAATAGTGTAGAAAATTCTCAAAACACAAACATATGGCCAACTTGTTAAAAACTCCAAGTGCTTTTCTTTTGCTTTTGGTAACATAATAGTATTTGCAGCTGGACTGGCATTACTTGGCTACCCATAATAAAGTCTTTGATGGCATTTTAACTTAGTTTTTAGATAGTTTTGAAAGACTTTATTTTAAGGATGTTGCACTTTGGACTTGGGCAAGTCTTTATGGAACCGGTGATAAGATATCTACCTATGCCATATTTTATTAAGTATAAGTGATGGATGGGGCACTATTTCTTTTAGCTTTGAAGGGTCCATCTTTTTCCTTATTTAATTATCTGGAAGGAGTGGTCACAGAAATACTCTTCTGCTTACCTGAAGATCTCTAAATGATATCCAGCAGGAGGTGCTACAATGAGATAAAGGAAATTTTTGAATTTTGAGGGTCTTAATACTTACTGCAGCTCTACTTAAGCTTCAGCTAAGCAACAGGATTAACACCTTAAAGTTCCAGAAAGATTTTGAGTAAGTCCATTAAAAAATGCCATTAATAAATTTCATTTGCTATTTGAAAATTTTGACCATGTTTTACCTGCTTATGATACTATGCAGAGTAGATTTGTTATTGTGGATAGCTTAAGAATGCTGGGGTTAGGTATAGAGTGCTGTTAGATTTTTTTTTTTTTTTTGAAGGGGAATGTAATGATGAATTACATTACATTCTTGTAATGATGAATGAGGGGTTGAACACATTTTTAAAACGTGCATTTATAATAAACAAAAATCATTGGTATGATGTGGGTTTTAAGCCTTGTGATCTTTTCTATAATAATAATATAAATAGGATGTAGAGTAGTTGAGATTTTTGGAAAGAAGGATCTGTGGGAAAAAAATTTTAGATTGTGTGTGTGTATGTTCTTGAATCTTTGGACAGTGATTCTAAGATAGAGAGCTTCTTAGGCACCCAACTTTATAAATACATATGGTTGATGTATTTAAGTTGGTCTCTACAAGTTGAGATCCTTGAACTATAGTAAAGTTACATTTGTGGGTATAGATCATTGCTGACAATGGCTTAGTTAAAACTTAACAAAAACTGCATAAAGACCAAGTAACTACTTTAACAGTTTCATAGCATTTGCAGCATATGGTCCTTTGAAACTCTGTGTTAGTGAATTATCAGGGGCAATAATCATGCTACTGTGGTTGCTTGTAAAGTTTTATATCAAAGTTTTAAAAACTTGGAAATGTATAGAAAATGTAGTGAACCTGCTTTGTGTTTTGTCTTTTTTGTAGGCATACTATACTGCTTTCTTAGTATGATCAAATTAGGTAAGACATATGAAAGTTCTTTGTAAATTTTAAGAAGCCATGCAGATAGTTGTTGGGATAGATAGCCAATTAATACATAAACAGAACTTATATCTTAAAATGCTAACTTTCTCCCTATCAGTTGGGAAATTAATGCATTAAAAGTGCACCCTGGACACTTCATGAATTTTTGTTTTTTAAATACTGCTGTGGTTACCAAAAATCTCTTTGTTATAGTTTTGAATCTTTGTTTAAAAAATACTGCCTAGGCAGTTTACCATAATTAAAAAAAAGTCCATTTTTCCTTTTTAAGATCTTAAGAAATATAAATCCCCATTACTGTTTTTCTTCCTTTCTTCATTGATGTAATAGTAGTTGATTTTTAGTGAGTGTTTAAGTTCCTTATCTCTTCTTTAGATTGTTAATAACACACAGAGTAATAGATGTCATGGCTCAAGTTTTGATTGACTTTGGGAACTTTCTGAAAAATTCTTACTGACTTAAGCTTTCAACCTTGTTTCACAGTGAAAATATGTGCATCTGTATGCATTAGTATTAGGTATATGTGTGTATCATTTTTGCTTTTCTATTTTAGAAGGATGCACGGGGAAATGACTACTCATATCTAGAGGAGTGCACTGAAATATTTTTGTGTAAAAATAACCCAGAAGTTTAAACCTTGAGTTGTGGCTTTCTTCATAGACTTCTGCTCATAGTTTTGGAACAGAAAATTAAAAAACAAAGCAAAACAAAACAAAAAAATTATCCAAACCAAAATATAGCTAATTGGGAATCCTTCTTTTCATGAATATATCAAAAGGTATAGTATCTTAAATTTTAGAAGTGACTATTTTTTGTGAGATAGCCCCAATTAGAAGATAAATATAGAAACGTTCTTCTCTGAAGGGTCAGAAAAACATTTAACTGTTTAAATAAAAATGAAACCTTAAGTGTGATATTGACTGTTATGCCACAGTGAATACTAAAATTTTTTGTTAAGAAATGCTGAAGTTGGGCTAGGGATGTGGCTCAAGCGCTCGCCTGGCATGTGGGGGGGTGCGTGACATGCTGGGTTCGATCCTCAGCACCACATAAAATAAAGATGTTGTGTCCACTGAAAACTGAAAAATAAATATTAAAAAATTCTCTCTCTCTCTCTCTTTCTCTCTCTCTCCCTCTCCCTCTCTCCTCTCTCTCTCTCTCAAAAAAAAAAAAAGAAATGCTGAAGTTAAAGTTATATTAATGTGCTGTTAAATTTTGTATCCTTAGTATTTTATCGTGATAGGCTTTTGTATTACTATTCAAAAGGAGAATGGAAGGGATTAGAGTTTTAGGTCTCTGACCTTTGACAGACCTTTTATATCTATATTGAGGACTGTTTTCTTGAAACATGTTTGGATTTTCATATTATTTTGTGCTGGGAAATATTTGTGATTTGTGTACATGACTTAAGAAATGTACAGGAACTCCTGTACATGAGCTTTTTTTTTTTTTTTTTTGTGTGTGTGTGTGTGTGTGTTGGGGTAGGCCTAAGTATTCATTAGGAGCATAGCAATACATTTTAATCACATTAGTTTACTAGATGGATCTTTTTTCTGCTTTGGGATTTTTTTTTTTTTAAGTGGTAATAAGTTAACTGCTTTAAATTTTTGGTACTGGAGATTGAACTCAGGAGCACTCAACCACTGAGCCACATCCCTAGCTCTATTTTGTATTTAAAGAGAGAGTCTCATTGAGTTCCTTAGCGCCTTGCCTCTGTAAGGCCTCCTGAGCCGCTAGGATTACTGCGCCTGGCTCTGATAAGTATTCCTTAAAGAGTAAGTTTTTCTTTTTGGATGTTTGTATGTATGTATAACCATACCTTTTTGTAGGCTTTCATGTAATTCTTATTCATGCATTAAATTTTTGAATATTTGTCTTCTATGAGAATATTTTAAGAGACTTTAAGAATGATGTTCCTAACCAGGTGCGGTAGTGTGTGTCTGTAATTCCAGTGACACTGGAGACTGAGACAGGAAGGTTTTAAGTTCAAGGCCAGCCTGAGTAACTTAGACCCTCAGCAACTTAGAGAGACCCTGTCTCAAAATAAAAAATAAAAAAGACAAATTGTAGCTCAATGGTAAAGCTGGATTCAATCAATCCTTAGTACTATAAAAAGAAAAAATGAGAAGAAAAAAAAAAAAGAAAGAAAAATAACATTCCTGTTACCTGACTACCAATTAATTCTTCCACTGGAAGTGGTGGTGGTGAACTCTAGAGACCCTTATAGTTCAGTCATTTTGGGGACTTTTCCAAAGCAACTTTCTTACACCAAATTCTTGTATGGCATTTTGAATACTCCTCCTCCACTTACCTTTTTCCGTGCAAATTACCCCCACTCCCCACATTTTTTTTTTTAATAAAAAAGTTAGTGAGTCTCAATTGAAGGACATTCTTTCTTATATTTTGGAATCAGCTATAGAAATGTTTTCTGCTTTTTAAAGCATACAAGAAGGTAGGTGTGGTGTTAGGCGCACCTTCAGTCCCAGCTTCTCAGGAGGCTGAGGCAGGACGATCACTTGAGCCCAGGAGTTTGAGGCCAGCTTGGGTATCATGGTAAGACCCTGTCTGAAAATAATACAAGACCAAAAAAACAAAACAAACAAAAACCCCACAAAAAACAAATAATAACAACCCATACCCCAAAATAACAACAACAAAACAACAATAAAGTAGACAAGAAAGTGAACCAGTAATATGGAGATAGGAAGGGGACGAAGCCTAATAGGTTGATGATCTGGGCTTTATTTTGACTTGCTTTGTGGGCCTAACGGAAAAAACAACTTAAACACAGAAGCCAAAAAGATGGGTTTTGTTTTATTGTTTTGGCTGCATTGAGAATACAAACTGTCAGTACTTGAGGAGAAGGAGCAGCAGAAAGGAATTGATTTTCTTCTGCTGCAGATCCAAGTATTGTTAACCATGTGCATCTCCAAAGCGACATACTTACAAATCAAACAGTAGTTGGTTCTTTCACTCAATTAACAGAACCTTAAGCTGGTTTAAAAAAAAAAAAATTAACTTAAGTACCCAAAACTTCAGGGAAATGATAGTAATTTCTTGATAAAAGTGGGTGATAGTAACCATGGCAACTGGTTACTCTGGCCTTATGGACAGTATGTTGTATTGATGAAGCTTCAGATCCTTTAGTAGCCTGTCACTTTTATGGTGAAATGTAGTAGCATGTGTTGCAGGTGATTTTTAGCTGGATTGTGTTAAATCTGTGTGCCAGCTTATCTTTCCTTGTTAGGAATTTCTTGGACTGTATTCCATAGCATGTTTGTGAAGGTGCTGTTGCCTGAAAATAACCCACCACCTGTGTTAGGCCTCCTGATGCAGATTGCACTTAGTTCTTTCCCAGCCTCCTTCCAGTGTTTTGCAGAAAATAGGGATATATGTAGGAACTGAGTATACATAAATTACACGTCAAACTTAGCTTGGATTTGGACATGTTATTAATAGTTTAAAAATATCTTTTGTGTTTTCTGAAGAGGTCAGTGAAAAAAAGAAAGGGCCTGTAGTCAGAATATTTTATTCTAACTGTTCTTTCCAGAAATATAAGTGTGTATGCTTGTAGAGAATAGGGCTGAGGAATGGAGGGCATGAATATGGAATAAGATCTAACAAAAGAGGATCTTTAGTATTTTTTGTTTTTATGGTGGTGGTATATAGATAGATCACTATAAAAATGTATTTCCTTATGGGAAGTATTAGACTATGGGAAATGTTTGCTTATAAGAATTTTCTTCCAGAAAAATTATGTATAAAACATATTTTAAACAACTCTTAAAAGGAAACCTGGTAAAATAATTTTGGGGAGAGAGGATAGAGAATATTGAAATGGATACAAAGTTTAAAAAAGTTTCAAAAAATTTATTTTCATAATAGTAAATCTCTTTGCTTTTAATGCTTATCCTGTATAAGGTTTTTGTAATGTAGAAATGTTAATATTAATTGATACTTCTTCCAGTGTGCCAGAGAAACTGCCTAGAACAGAAAATAAATCAGATCTAAATTTGACTAAACCCTGATTGTAAGATCTAGTCAAATTGCGCTAGGTAGTTTTCAGACTTTCTTGAAACTTGCTGTTAGAGTGAAGTGGTTCTTACTACAAGTCCCAAGGTGCATTGCAGTTTTTGCTTAACTTCAGATTAGAGCATTGCATTCTGGGATCTGTAGTTGATTTGAGCAGCACCGGGAACCCTCCCTTCTTGTCTACTCCATTTTATACACAGCTTCCCAAGTCTCTAAGAACTTTTTACTAAGTAAAGTTTGATTAATAATACTATGATTATTTTGCTTCTGAAATTCGAAAGAGAATCTTAAGAAGCATTCCAGTGCTGTTATTTACCTTAGATGAGTTTATTGTGTTTTTTAATCAGCTGCTATAAGATTTATATGTAAAATAACATTTACATAAATTCAAAATGACTTAGCAATTGCAAGTAATTTTTATGTGTGTGGTGAAATAGGTCACTTTATGATTAATAACCTTGGTGTTTGCTAGTGTGGGCATTAGAAGTCTCTTATTGTCAGGCATGATTTGTCTTCGTCTCCTATTTTTTTTCCTCCAAGGGGACAATTATTTAGTAAGTTGGATATAAGGAGTTCAGAATTGTGTGATTGTTCTCTATAATAGTGTCAACATCTTGCCAGGCATGGTGGTTTGCACCTGTAATCCCAGTAGCTCAGGAGGCTGAGGCAGGAGGATTGCAAGTTCAACGTCTGCCTCAGCAAAAGCAAGGTGCTAAGCAACTCAGTGAGACCCTGTCTATAAATAAAATACAAAATAGAGTTTGGGATGTGGTTCAGTGGTTGAATGCTCCTGAGTTCAATCCCTGGTACCAAAAAAACCCCAATTCCTGAAAGTACTGAAAGTAAGTTTTTCAGTACAAATTTAAAAGATGTAGTCTGAAAGGTAGAAATGTGAGATTTCTTTAATAATTTATTCATGTTTTCATTTGTAAAGTTAAAAAAATTTC